AAATTAAAGTCTCTACTTTAGGGGGTTCACTATTATCATTCTGCTGTCATGGGCTTGAGTCTCCCCATCCCCCCTATCCCAAATAATGCGGTTATCTTTGATGTCATTGATACCTAAACACATGCACTGAGGTGGTAATTTACAGGAGAGGATGAGTTCAGTGGAAAAAAACAGGTTCACCACACCTGAATCCTTTGAAGCCACAGAGCAGTGCTAAAATCAGACCTCCTGTGATGGCTCTGCCCTCTCCAAAACATGACATAATTTCTGTACGGGAAGCATTCCTTCATCCAGTTGTCACAGACTGCAACTTGATACGGCTGAGATCTTAGATGTAGGGTGTCTATGGCTTTCCTTTGCATGTTAGTAACATTGGAAGCAAACACAAATTATGTGAGAAGAGCAACATATGAGAAAATGTTTCTTTTAAAGGAAACTACTGCATCAGCAGGTATTCTATATCATCACTATAATGTGACCAGTTGCACTGCACTCCTTTAGGTTTGGGTTCTTAAACACAGCTTGGTTTTTCCTTATCAATTTACTGTGGAGAAAAGCTCTATAAAGAAAAGCTTCAAGACAAGGAAATCTCACTTACCTAAAATCTGTATTTACAGCTAGACCTACATCATCTCTCAGTTATTCAGAAAAAAAATACCAGTAACTGATAGTGCAGTGATCCTTGCAAACAAAATAAGGTGCAAGGCTCTTTCCAGTCAAAGATCCATCGATCACGAGGCACAGTCTTCAGTCCTCTGATACTCACCGACCTTCCTGACCAGCAGTTCATGTGCACGAAGTGGTGAGGTTTGTTTTACCTGCTATCAGTGCTTTTGCCTCCTGTAAATTACCACAGCACATAACTTCTGTCAATAACCTGATCTAACTTTTGAGTATTTATATTTTTTGCAGTTACATAAAGCTGCAGAAAACAGAATATTAGTAGAAAATTTCAACATGTATCTTTTTATTCAATGCATTAGATTTTTTGAGAACTTTCAGTTTTCATCCAGCTTAATAATCTAGAATTGCGTACCCTGAAAAGCCAGAGATTCACAGAACCTCAGGAGAATACTAATGCATAAATGCACGCTACAAATTAATCTGAATGAAGAAGAGTGACTAACTGCAAATTAAGGATTAGATAAGTAGTCACTAACAAAGAAACAACCACAAAGCTCAAACATTCACTGAATACTAATTCTCTTTTAAATTCTGGTAAGATTGTGTTTCATTACAAACCATCAGCTTTTTACTACAGAACAGTATTTTAAGCATGCACCATCTACAAATTATCTTGTCTTTTAAACAGCATAAACAAATTGCTGCAAAATAGCAAGACATCTCAACAGCAGCTCATGTATTGTATGACTTCACTCATCTCATGATGAATAATTCCCCAGTTAGATTTCTATTTTAAAGCATCGATGGATTTTGTTACTGTCTCTTTTAGTTAAGTCTTTCTTACAAGAACATCATAAAATGGTGCTAATGGCCTACTTGAGAAAAGACTTTACTGAGATTTATGGATGTAAATTTGAGATAAAAATTACCCTTCCCAAGAGAACACCAACAGATAACACAGCAATACAAACAGTTTTGCTCCACAGCAGGAGTCAATAGCCTAGATCCTGCTCCCTTGTGCAGGAATAATCTGATGCACTGAAGAAAATGAAGTCACTTCTAGATTTCCTTCCAGAATAAATTCTGTCCCACTTTCTCTACAGTGAATTGGCAAATTCATTTAAGCAGCCCGTACTGAAGAGGTAGGGCAATCCTCATCCTGAAACAAAGACCAGGGAAACCAGGAGTCCTCCCACTGACTTCTTTGGCCTTTGGATGAGGCCCTAAACTAGAGAAATCAGAACAGCAGAAGGGATTATATCTTAATTAGAATGACACCACTGACACTCAGACAAACCTTCACTGCTCGACAGGAATAGTATCAAACTAAATCTGTCCAGTAATTTCTGCATACTGCTATCTTCAATATTATTTGTCAATCAACTAGACATCACTTACCACACACTACGTGATAAACAAATGGGAACCTACTACTTGCTCTAAACCCTGCATTACTTCCACTTGAAATACGTTAAAATGCAAAAATCTCACTGCAACTACAATATTCTCTAATCAGCATATTCTTTCAAGTTCAAACTGTGTACTCCTGCAGAAACTATTAAGAAATAAATGCTGTTCAAGGAACCATACCAGGCTTCTAGAACAATGAAATCTTTTTCACACAGTCAACAGACCTATTCAAGCAGACACAAAAGCATCTTCACAAGCACTAGAACATAAAGCCCTCAGTGCTGGGGTTATCACGCAAGAAGTGGTCCTGTAGCAACTAGACTTAAGCAGCAAAGGGGAACACCACTGCAGAAATAACTCATTGTCTTCTAAGACTGCAAAGATGCTTTTCAGCTCTGATACACCTATGGCTATTGAAACTGATACAGGACTGAAAAGATAAGTATTTGTACTGTAATACAGTTTTGGAAGGAAACCACGTCTTTCATGTTGGCTGCAGAAAGAAGGAACACATGAAAACAAATGCTGATGCAGAGCAAATATAGCAAGATGACAGAATATATTGTGGATACACCTTACACGTACAGATCAAAACTTCTACATGTGCAATAATATTCAGGTATTTAAGATTAAACACTTAGAAAGGTGTCCCATGGTTAAGGCTCCTCTGAGATTTTTCCTTAAAATACTTTCATTTTGAAAATCACTTACGGGAGTCAAGCTCTATGGCAAAATTGCTAGTCAGAGGACAAGTGGATTCTCCCGTGAGCCACTGGATAGAGTAGTGATTCTTCCACAGAAAGCTATCCAATCATTGCTTTTCAGATGCCATGCAGGCAGTCCTTCCTGCCACTCCAGTTAAACATACTTATTCTCAGTGCTCTTATGGGTCAGGAAATTTCCTCAGGAAACATCAGTGGTCATACTGGTTTAATCTCTGATGAAGACTACTGAGAATGGTCACATGAAAGTGGACATTTGGAGAAAATCAAGCTTAGTCAATAGGAAATGAAAAGCAATCAAGTGAAACTCTGAAGGAAGGAGATCTTGGAGCTATGAAATTAAAAAAAGAAACCTCCCAAAACAGAACAAAAAGACATACCAACCTTGCTTCGGTCTTGTTCCACTTAGTCCTCAACTATGACACATTTTTCTGTGTATCACATGAACCTGAGAGTCAGCCCTAAGTTATTTTTATATCCACAAAAATATAACCCCAAAATGCTAATGCCCTGAATGATTAATATTTCAGTAATACTTGGCAATTGACTAAGGACACCTCTAGCACCATTACATTAATGAAGATCCTAGCCAGGCATTTCCTTTATAAATTACCAGATAGCTCATGGAAAGTGAGCAGGCATGATAAATGAGCTGTAGCTTTCCAGACTGTGCTTTGTAACAGATGTATTTACACATTTCACAATCTACCGGTAGGGATGATGTGTGTTACTGCCAAATGTTAGATGAAATGTTATCAAACAGAAGCCTCCCCACAAATTCCCATCGTGTTGACTATTAAGATCAGCTTGCCGCTTGTAATTTTTCATGTTATGTTCTTCCTTTTTCATATACGACTTTTTTCAACCTAATGTTATTATTTTAATTATCTTTTTCTTACTCACCAAAACATGAGAAGTACATATTTACATGAACAAAAAAATTGCAGGATGTCTATCTAGAACCTTGTGCCACTTACATTTTTTTAAATACTTCATAAGCTTATTTAATAAATAATAAAAAACCCACATCAAAAACCTAAATCTGATCCCATTTCTACTTTACACTGCTCTTCAGAGGGCTCTCCCTTTCAGACAGCAGCTGAGGATTTTGTCTTGCCTGAGCCAGTGGCTCTTTACCCCAGTATTTGATTTTCCTTAAGGAGTTTGATGGTAAGAATCAGCCACTCCCAGGCCACTGGCTGGTAAAACCCTGAGGTGGTACTGAGTTGCCATCAGTGGCCTCAGGCAGCTGTTTTAGAGAACACAATTAGATTCCTGGGGAAGTTGTCATTCCTCTCTGTTTCCTCAGAGAAGAACAAATGGAGCCTGTATCTTGTTAGACCGTTTGCATCTGCTGCACCGTATGAGGTGGCATGTTGGGGTACGCTGGGGCAGCTGTAGTGACAGCATGAAAAGACACATAGTTCCCAGGTGAGCACAACCTAAGGCAGCACACGCCCTGTCATATAACCTGGCCCAGGCACGTACAGGCTCCAGAGACCATGCGGTGTATCCTGCTCCAAGAACCAGAACTGTCAGTCTGTGGAGTCCATCACACAGCTCAAAGTATCTTACTTGCATCCGTGACAACAGCAGTGTTACAACGCCACTGGAAAACAAACAGGCTGGGCTCAAAACCCTGCCCATAGGGCATTCAAAATCTTAATGAAATACAGTATTATCTGTTGGTTACCGTTTCCTCATGGTATTACCAGTGAGCGTGTTCAGATGGAGACAGAAATTTGTTGCAGCACATTCTGAACAGGCATACAAGGACGCATCTACAATTCACATCCAGCAGAGCTCTTACAGATCACAGATCTGAAGTGACAGGGTCAGGCTCAGTGCACTTCACAAATGCATAACCCGCAAATATTAACCTGGCGGTGCTACTATAATCACGCTTTTCTTTAAGTTCATTTACCAGCATCTTAAGTACAAAGGTCTCTGAAACAGTGCTTTGGTCGAGGAGCTTGTAATTGTCTGGGCTATGATCAGATTGGTTTTGTTACATGTCTTTACAGAAAGCTGAGCAGTCAGAAGGTAAAAAACAACCAAAAGACCCACACTCCACAAATGTAGCAAAACAAAATTGATTTCTGAATAGACAACCTGTGCACAAGCTAAAACGCTAAATATACATTGATAAACTAATTTCTGGAAAACATATTTAAATATAATTTTACATCTAAACAGGCATATATTTCAGAAACTTCAAAACGAGGAAAGAAACTTCACTCTTACCTCTTCCAAAGCCCACAGTGAATCAACCACAGGCTTGATCTTCTTACTGTTATACAGATTTATGAGTTTGTCCATCACACCCTTGATCAGGCCACCTCGATTCTGTTTGAAAAGTAGATTCAACAGGGAAAATCCAGCAATAACTTTGTTCTCCTCATACAGCTTGATAGGATTTACTTTCTCAACCTGCCACCACTGGAAAGCAATAAACAATAGCAGGGTTAGAAAAACATTTTGAAAATGCGCAGGAAGGCTCACAAGGAAACTGTCTGGGCAGACGTGATGCACAACTCATGGGTCAGATCTGAAGCAACAGCCAAGATAAGCAGTAACGATTTTAAGGAAGAGGCAAGAAAGCATGCAGCTGACTGACAGGCAGGAATAAAACACAGACTTGCGTTACATGAGGTTAGGGTGTCAGAAGAACAGTGAATAGATCTGGTGTTAGGATATGGGTCTAGAAGTAAGGAATTTGGACCTCCCTTCTTACTTCTGTTCTTCGTTATCTCAAGACACACAAGCTCCCCAAACATTCACAAGCAACTATTGACTGTTACTCCTCTCTCAAAACCAAGGAAACCCTGCACTGCTTATTAGCTTCCATTTACTTTTCACACGTTACTATGTTTGCAGTATTTGAGTGAGACTCATATCTAATGAAATTATTTTATCTCATTTAGCCCAAGAGCATCCTTGAGAATGAGATCCCACTTCCTAGTACGTTTTATTTAAATGGGTCAATTTTTAATTAAAATTTTCATATAATTTGATGAGCCAATTTTGCAGTAAAATTATATAAACAAACTATACTTTAATATGAAATTTGATACACTATTTTTCTATTAATTCAATTTATTAATATTTATTATCAGTACTATCTGAAAAACACTGCAGCTGAAACTGATTTCACTGGGCCAATCTACCCTACACAAATTACACACATCTGGATATGTTTACATTAACAGTGAAAAGGCTGCATAGTAAAAGATTACCTTGTTTTAGTTCAAACACGCACGACAATAACAAAGATCTTGCCACTACAACCATTAAGAAAACGCACGAAGCAAAGAATAGTTTCTTGCTAAAGTCTTTGATTTATCTTGTTTTCAATTACACAGAGACTTTTGCAGCTCATTTCTTCTGGGACAGGGTTATTGCTGGAAGCTCTAAATGAGCTCTGGGCAGAAAGACTGTACAATAGATCTTCACTCAAGACTACTCCCTCGATGTTTTTCCTGAAAGAATCACTTTTGCTCCCTGTTAACTTATTTCTCAGTAGTGGTTTGATATATTTGTCCCTTTTCAATCTCTAGGATTTCTGAGCACGTTTTTGTTGTTCTAGTAGGCCAAAGAAAAAAAAATCCATTTGAATTTTGTGTTTGTTTACGTAATCAATTAGGAAACAAATGCAACATCATAATTGCTTTGATGTCACTCGAAATGAAAATGGAAAACTGAAAAATGCATTTCTATATGGAACTAACTTGTGAAAAGCTTGAAATGACAGGACACAAGCCCCAGTTTAAGAGATTTTTCTCCTTTAAATATCTCCTATAATTCACTGCACTGTCCTGACAGTGTTTTCAGACATGAGGAACCTACAGGGTACACAGTTACCCATATCTATGGATATGACATTCTGCCTTACGAAACTAAGTGATGCAGTCCAACTTCAAGCTTTAGCTGTGTAAGTGATCCATATCCCACGGCTAACAATTTAAATAAGCACTGCACACCAGTCCAATTCCTGTCTAGCTGCCATGTCAGAAGAAAATGTGTCAGACCACACTGCATTCAGAAAAACTTTCTGTTCAGCAACATCAGGAGTAACAGAGACAAATGAGAATGATAGAGATGAAAATGCTACAGAAGAGACTGAAGTTAGAGGAAAGAGCAGAATCACAGCTCTGGGACACTTACTGATTTTGCAAAACTGAAGAAGCTTTTTGTCTCTCCAGTAACCACGTTAGATGAACCTGTAAAAGATGAGTACATGCACACACAATTTGTTACGTGCTCACCAGGAGACCATTTACTACATGTAAAATCATTTCAATGATTCATATTTAAGAAAAAAAAATCCCCAGGTTTAAAAGGGATCAGCAGACATCTAACTAGTAGCATCTAAAGAGGCCAAGGTGACTGAGCCCTGCAAGTCTATACGTATTCTGAGATGACAAAAAAGAATCTATCAAATCTTCCAAAACCAGGAATAGGACAAGTGCCATGAGGCCTCTTGACACCAGAACTCTTCTCTACAGCTCTCTCTGCCTCTGCATCAAAACATACCCTGTGACTCCTAGGGTGTACAGAACAAGAGCTCCGAGCTTTCTCTTACACTTCCCCTGTATCACCCAATAACGCTTAACAATCTGAAACATATGTTCATTTTCACTTATAGATTCTTTTTTTGAGTTTCTTTGTATTACCTATGTTTACCAGTAATTTAATCCTTGCTCAGCTTCATTAAAATCCTTGATTAAAAATGGTCAAATTGAGAAAGTAGAACGTGGTGGCCTCCAGTTCTGAAAGGAGTGGCACGGGTGATTTTAAGATATTTTAAGATTTGCAAAGCTTTAGTTTTGAAATATGTACCTGGCTTTTTCCACTCACCATATAAAATGTAAGTCCCAAGTGGTTTGAGAAGACTGAGGCCTTTTCCAGTGTTTTCTCCACAAAGACAGTCCAAAACAATATCCACTCCATCTGTCGAGATTCTAAAAAGCAAGAAAAAGTCTCACTTTGCAATCAGATTCAGCATGACACAAGCTGATCGTTAATGTAATACTAACATTTTCCAGGTACTTTAGAAAGGCCTATAACGCTGAGGCTTTGACTATATGAAAAATACACTCAAATATTCTGATTTAGTTCTCTTTTTTTTTTCTGGCAAAATCCTGCAAAATCCTATCACCAGTGTCTGAGAACTGTCCTAAAATGAACTGTTCTGATGAAGGGCAGAAGCAGCCAATGTTATCTCCAGTCATGAGGTTATCAGAAGTTAAAGGGGATTCATTCCTTTTTCTAAGCACTGATTCCTGTTGTACCTGATCCCACATCACATAACTCACTTAAGTAAGATCTTCTGCTGCCCCCGCCAAGAGTTAGCATTAAGGTTGGTGCTACTCCCAATTAACGTTTTCAAGTGTTCTCTCTTGCTGAATCCATTTTGTAAACTGGGAATTACTAGAATTCAGTCTTCATTGTACTACAGCTTCCAAAGGGCTGAAGAAATCAGCTGCAATTCTTTTAGAGTTGTAAGAAAATGGTAGGGGTGTCATCTGCTGGACAAGTCCTGAATCTTTTGGTGAAACTTCCCATATAGAAAAATTCTCACTGGACACGAAACATTCTTTGTGATGGATCATTTTGAAGGTTTTCTGAAGCCAGAAGCTGTAGCCAGGCAGCCAGCCTGCCTTCTCTTCCAACACCAGCCGGGACTGCTAACAGCTCCAACAAAGCCTGCTGTATACTCTGAGGACTAGCAATCCTTGTGCAAAGAGATCTTTGGAGACCCTGCGTGTCACTCTGAGGAATTCCCAAGTCTGACAGGAAGCCTGATAACTGTACTACCTTGAGGTGGCCCTTTGAGGAATTTCTTGGTTTCTGCTCAGCTACATAATCTAGTATTTTGACAGAAACAAGATGAAGGGAAAACATTATTCTTATCTGTCTGACAAGGAAAGTCAAGAAGACATTTTTTACTAAGATTTCCTTATCAATTCTAAAGTTTTGCCACCTGTGTCAACATCAGTATCTAGAAACAGACAAATTGGAAAACAAAGTATTTGAAAGCATCTAAATAGAAACACATGTGATGACTTCAAAAGGCAACAGGATGATTCTAATCTGAACGCAAACAAACAAAATCTAAGCATCTGAAATTAAAACAGACATCATGTGCACTGATATCAATACCTGGCAGAAGATAAATCCCCAGGCAGACAGGAACAGACCAGAGAACGCTAAAATCTGGATAATTTAGAGATCCACTGAAATATCTCAATGCATTGCAGCAAGCTGCTACATTTGCAGTACATCCTTCTCTTAAGACCTTTATTCTTCTTCACTTTATATACTTTCCTTGCACCACAAGTCCAAGTATGAACATGGACTAACAAAACTTATGTTGCTTATAAAGAAATAGGGAGATGCTTGCTATCTCGTCCCTTGTAGTGGACAGACAGAGTATCTGGAATACAAACTCCAGTTCCCAAACTCACAAATGTAATGTCTTCCCAAAAAAATGATTAGCCCAGTATCTTTAATAGTATTTTTGCCAGATATATACAACCCTTGCTCAGGAAAATAAAAAGATTACCTTTTTACTTCTTGAACGTAGTCTGCATTTCTGTCAAACAGGTGAGTTACTGAGTCTTTGATTGCTTCATGTTTGAAAGATGAAGCTGTTCCAAAAACAGTAACATTGGGAACAGTTGAACAGAGCTGAGCAACAGCTTGACCCTGCAAACACATTATTATATTAGTTCACTGACATGGAAATGGGTTGACAGACTTTGCAGCTGCCAGTTCACTCATGACACAGCAAAATCCAAGACCAAGCATGTGCAAGGACTTCCTGAACTCATCTCTTGCCAGTGCAATGCAGTTCAGGCACAGGGAAAAAAAATACATTTAAATCAAAAGGATATTCTGAATACAAAGCAACTGCATGGGTAAAAGTAATTTAATGTATCAAAAATTCTACTGTGAAAGAGGAGGTCTTCATCTTTTAACAAATACAGTGTAATTTAAGGGAAACAACATTAATTTACAAGGACCAGCAGAAATGATTACTCCAAAAGTGCTAGAGAAGTATTTCTCACTTGCATCCTATGTGCATTTCTCCCAGAGCCCCTTGAGGAACGTCAGCAGTCCTCTCTGCTCTTCACACCTCACAACAGTGCTGACACGATTCAAATCCTCTCTGCTCACAGGGAAGGCCTTGCAGCACCTGATGCCACAACAGAATTTCTGGCAGATCATGTAAAAGTACTTGTCTCCTCTGGTACTCAAGTACAACCTGCGGTTCCAACACACCAAGTCTAGCGTAGTCAGTCCCTGCACAGCATGCAGCCAGCCAGTCCTAAGCAATTGCATTTTCTTGTGGTTTCAGTGGGACGCAGCAAGTACACACAACAAATACTGTGCAGTAAAGCAAATCTAGTTAAGGTCTTATTAGTAGGAGTAATCATTACTGATTAGCCAAATGCATGAGTAGCCTTGAGTCATGCTAACAGGTCTGCTTAGGCCAGCGCCCCAGCCTCAAAACTGATCAACAGCCAAGGGCATAAAACAGCCTAGAGCATGTACAGGAAAAACATTCTCTTAGTATATCGTAAGAATCATAGAAGAGTTTTGGTTGGAAGAGACCTATCCCTCCTGCTTCTGGGCAGAAATCCCATGGAGTCAAACAGATACTGTGTCAGTGTTTAGGAAGGACTTTGGGGCATTAGAGATCGTGCATTTAAATGTCTGGACTTTGACTTTCCAGCTTCAGGCTGCAGCAGGCTTTAACTTCTCTAAGGGTTAACCTCCGATTTCATAAGGCTGAGAGAAGGGAAGAACTGCACGGAGGCTGAGCCATCTAGGTTTCAGAAAAGATCCTAACAGGTCACCCTGCCTCTTGTTGTAACCACATTATTCCACTGAAGCTAGCATGGTCACAGACACATGCCCAGAGGCAAGAAATGCCACCGTCATTCTAAAAATAACATCTGACAGAATTCAGCAGATTCTTACATATATTTACAGCTGAAAGACTGTAACTTGTAAACTGTATGCATGACCACTAATATCATCCACAGATGAACCCCTTTCTGTTCATTCCAGCCAGAAACCCTGACTTACTATATGAATACTAGTAATCAGTGCTTAGGTTTTATTTACAGTAGAATAATTAGATAACCCTGCATAGCCTGGGGGTCTTGGCATCCTCACATATAATACTGAGTGTAATTGCTAGTGACGGTCCTCTGAGCTGAACATCACAAGAGGACAACATCATTATTTATATATCATGGTATCCAGAAGTTTTGGATGAGTCAGTAACCAACTACACAGCGAGGCACAGTTGCCGTGGTCCTTTAGGCAGGTACCAATAGACACAGAACAGAGCAGGGGAAGGGATTCATTTTCATTTTCACTTTTTTGCTTTGAAATGGATTAGCACAGCAAATTTAACAACCTGTCCAACAGCTCAGAGAAACCTATCGCAGAATCCAGGTACGAATGCTGATTCACAGCATAGTAATCCAATACCCAACATAAATGATGCTTTTAAAATCATCCACCATTTTCGTGGGTTAGAATCCCTAATATCTTACAAATCATACAAAAATCCATTACTGAGGGACCTCATCTCACAAGATGTAATGCCTTTGGAGAGCAGAAAACACACGCTCTTCTCATACTTCATTTCTCTATCACTTACCGTCTCACTCTGAAGACCAGGTTTTAGCCTCCACAAGTAGCATAACAGAAAATTACAAGCACAAAATCTAGATTAAATTTTTTATCTCTCCTTTACTTAGTCATTTTCACTAGCAATCACTTTCTGTGTCTCTCAGAAAACCATTACCCACAGTGATTTAGATAAATCTGTATTTTGTAACATAGGCTGGATGAAATTCTGACGTTATTAATCTATTCCCTAATTAGTTTTCTGCATTTTCAATCTCACTTGGGATGATGAAGGATAACGAGTATATCCTGAATCAAAACCACTGAATGTTTAAAAGGTCAAATACTAGAGAAGAACACATGCTGGCTTTCATCTTGCAGATGATGATTAACATTTAACAAAGTGACAGTCAGGTGAGTAGAAGAAATGCACAAAAAGCTCAGGATGTGCATAACCTATTTTCCTTTTCACTCAAACTCCTTAGAACAACCCTCTCTCCCCCCACAGAGATAAGCTTATCTAAAATCCCAGATCAGAGTGCTTTCCAGCTTTCTGCAGATATTGAAAGCCTAAAACTGACTCTCATGACCAGTACTTTTATAACTGGATGAACAGTATCACTGAAGTATTTTGACACAATTCCACAAAACATTCTTTTACAGTTTTCTGAAGATCTTCATGTCACCTCTTACTCATTTTTGTGCAAAGTATTCTTAGTATTTGTATCTCAGAAACATAAGGATAAAGGCTGATATTGGACTTCTCTTGGTTTCTTCACCAAAACAGGAGAGCTGAACTCAACCTACAAACTCAAAAATTTCACTAATTTCTGTGGAATTCAGCTAAGCTCCAAAACAGCACCGTGGCTACGCAAGTCACTCTTAAGCCTCTTGTCTAATCCCTCCAGTCATTTAGCTAGCTCTAGATTAGTGGCTACTGTTCAGAGGGCTATACAGTTCAGTTCCAAGTATGTGAGGCCCTGGTGTTCAGAACATCCACAGTTCACACACGAAGGACACATGAGGGGTTTTGGAGCTGGAAGGGAGAACATCCCCTTCCCAGGACCAGAGGGGCAGGTAAGGCACCAGTGCCGACTCCTCCCCTCGGCACACACTCTCACCAGGGAGCATCCTTGGATCACAGGGACACGAGCCCTGTCTTGTCTTTCTGTTTCTTTTGGTTTTCCTCCTAAAAACTGCTTTGTGGTAGCCCCAGACAAGAAGACTCTGTCCCTCCAAGCCCTGACAAAACCAGATCATCTCTGCTACCAGCTTTCACTGTGCAGACCACAGGGATATGGAAGCAGACATCCCATTATCAGAATTATGAACTCTCAAACCTTCCAAGAGGGTGTCTAATTAGATAGTCATGATTTGGAAAATGAAAACTCTTCACACATCTAATTTTATATATACGAATTGCTACACATAAGTACTGACTAAATTCTTGCTTCTTGAACCTGGAAAATTAGCAAGTGGCAAAAAATAATTCTCACTTGGACAATTAATTTCACCTTTAACAGGATTTAGCAGTCCCTGAAAAAAAATTATCAGTTGGTTTACAGAAGGGACAGACATGGTTACAAAGTATTCCCATAAAATGGAATTAATTTCCTTTAAAAATATATATATTTTATACATTACTTATCATGCAGAACTCCACATGGTGAGTCCTCAAAGAAATTAATAACTTGGATTAAAACATTCTGTGGAAATGAAGCATATGTCCTAACAGTGGATTTTGTACAGGAGTCTTGTGTCTCTTTAACTTCCAAGTCAGTTGACAGGATTCCTTTTCAAAGTATCCTGTCAGCTTGTAAGACCAGTATTTTTAACCTAATCTACACACAGGATTATTACAGAATGTATGATAAATGATGGATATCCTTATAGTAGATTTCTTTACATTCCTTTGCTTTAAAACCCAAGTTCAAACCTGCAGGACTAGAAACTTCTCATACCAAGGTAATCACATAAACAAAAATAGATTTTTTAAGAAGTAAAAATGAAGTAAGCCTGTTCTGTGCATTCAAAAAATTTCACCTTTAAAAAGTCACTGACATTTAAAAGTCAATATAGAAACCATGAATAGAAGAAAACTTACAAATCTAATTAGCTCATTAACACTAGCCTAATACTGAATGAAATATAATGAAGGGGTGTAAATTAGTGGATTTCCAAAAAAAGGTCTGACTTAACGGCACAAGCCAGACCCAGCCTGATGTGCAAGCTGTGCCCTGAATTACAGCCATTAAAGACCAGTTGTACTTTCAAAAAAGTATCTTTTTTGCTATTACGTAAGTTTAGGCCAGCTTTATGTAGCAGGGAAGAACAACACAAACACACATCTCTCAAAACTAGCAGCATCGCTGAAATTATGGTTTATATATGTTTTTGTAGCCTAGAAGTGCTACAACATTAAAAAACAAACAACCAAAAAAACATTCAGACACTCTTGCACAAGAAACCTGTCTGGTACTGAATGTGAGGAGAATCAGCATTTCCAAAATGCTCTGATGCCACATAACCGTCTCCAAAGACGGTACGAAACACAAACATTAGTAGACATCTTCTCTTGGAGTTTTCCTACTATCTCGTGGCATCAAGAAAAACTTTTCTCTGGAGTTAGAAGTCACACAACACTCCATCTCCTGAAGGTGTCGTTTTTCCAATTACAGCAGAAGAAATCAGAAACCAAGCACTGAAGGTGAACATTGCAGAGTGGATAAACCAAAATGTGATTCTTGAACAAGTGTAAGGTGGTGTGTGCTACACCCACTGCACCACAAACATTTTGAAGCAGAGAGAGGGGAAGAAAGAGTCATCATGAGCTTTCACCCTCAAAATCTCATTTACTGCAACAACTAGCAAGGTGTGTTTTTTCCCACGCCCTGGCAAAACTGGGCAGCTGAGATGCATCCAAAGCTCAGAGGTGAATCTCCCACCGGTTTAAATCCTCTTCAGTTTAATGGAGCTAGAGCAATGTACCCCAGCCAAAATCCTGGTCCAGAGGACACAAGCTCTGTCTGAAAAGGTGAAAGAGCCAAGGAAGAGTTAAGCAC